GGCAGCAGGCCCTAACATCCACCGCAGATGTTCGTGCACCTAACGACGTCACCACCAGACAAACCAACTTGACTGGTGCATAAACGGCTCTCCACAGTCGCGCATGGAGCCCCAGTGTAGAAGGTGCATTGTGCTGCCCTACAATAGTCAGGATTGACTTCAAATTGCAACATAATGCTGCATCGGTGCATGACCTCGGTTGTTCCAAAATCAGAATAATTTTCTGCATAAATTAGGCTTAACGTTGCAATCTAGTCTGTCCACTGACCGAAAATAAGCAAACATCATTGGATTGTTTAGATAATGCGCACCAGAGTATTCTCCCGAGAAAAGAGATTGCACTCACCATCCATGCAGGTGACGAAATTTTACAAGGCTGAGGGTCTACGTCCCTGTACAGACCACTCAGACAGACCACTGCATTTCTATCGTTTTCTGAACCAATACCATCATACTGGTCGATAGTACGAGAATTATCGGAAATAACCATGGGCACTACGTTTTTGTCACATACTTTAAGCTTGTGTCGAACAAAGGACGTGCGCAGACTGCCTCAGTGGGAGAGCGAAGAGCTTCAACTGCCAGTGGTGTGCCCAAATCGAAACGTGCAGTTCCGGTGCAGACAGAGGTTGGCAGCGGTGGTATGAGGAAGGCTGTCATTTGAATGTAAGTTTGACGTTAACTTTACTAATTACAAACCGCACAAAGCTTCGTTCGTGAATGTAGCCCAGACACTAGCTATAGAGTATGAAAATACTACATCCCCTCCGGTTTCTAGAACTCTGAGAAATCGGACAGATTACTGAGTGAAAAAAGTGCAATTATATTTGTTGCTACGACTAAAAGGAGCTAAATGCATTGAAATATTTAGCAACAGAAGTTGGTTTATAAATGGACTAATCAAATAAGTTGAAGGTACCCAGGTTATAATTCCTGAGGCCTCCTGACTCCGTAAATGCGGTCAAACAGCACCTGCCCTCCTGAAACGGGGTTTTGCAGTCGGAGATTCAAGCCCAGACATGGACGACTGCAGGAATTGTTACTCAACACAACCGAAAGCTGCACCTGATTCGAAAATATGTAGGGGTGTCAGATTTGTGAGCATATTTGGTGACGTTGTGACAAAAGCAGAATCAGAAGCTAGGTAGTACCTCTTAGAATAGTGGGTACGAATTTGCTGAAGGTACTTTACGATTTCGAACCCTTGAAGACTTTCTTCATATAATCGAGGCTATCAGTTCACTGGCGGATTCATCTGAATCGAATTCCAAATAACAATGATTCAATGTTGTATCAGAATTTGAAGCCCTATGAGACGGCATAGATGAGTCATCAGAGAAGTGTCTTCTTGCATTAATAGATGCCACTTTTGCTCTGAATCATAAAGAACTACTGAGTAAGAAAAATATTACATTAAAAGCAGTGGGATTTGTTTAGCGAATTAATATCCACACCCAGGCCAATCATCCACATTATCCGAGAGCAAAGAAACAGGCGACAAGGGACACGACCGCCCATTTCACGGCTTAGGTTGGTCGAAGATGCAACTCAGCTTGAGGTAACTTTGTTAAGACGTATTTCTATCCAAACGCCTCTGTAGACATTGCACGACGTTTAACAAGGCTTTATTATGTTTTATGGGAAAAATTTGCAAGCCAAAACAATTAAAAATCCCACGACCAACAACAATTTACAAGACAAAAACGGTCTGAAGTCCACTTTGGTTCATGCAATCTTACCAAGATTGGCAATTAGGTAGACGTACCTTCGATAACTTACTAAGGTAGGTGGTCGAGTTGACAAAAACTTGGGATGGTCCTAAAGAGTCTCTATTTTATATTTTAGAGCATCCGTGTTGACTGCGGTTAGTTGAGGAAAACAGGAAGTTTTAATTTCTTTTAAATGAATTTTGACATCAGAGGTAAAAAAAGAGAAAGTGTTTATGGGGAGGTGCGAGACTACAACGCCAAGTCTCCTAACTCTTAATCTTATATTCATTTTTTCACTCTTAGAACTGTGCTTTTACAAAAAAATACCAGCCCAGATTAGTCTCCGATGGCACTCATCAGAACTACGTAGGCCCTTTTGAGAGTTCAAGAATATGTTAAACTGTCTTCGCGAAGTTATGTCCAAGTCAACACAAACAATTTTCCCTTTATTACCAGATAAGTCGGCAATTATAATCCGACAAATTTGTACTTGGCGTTTTTAGGGAACTCTCGGGCAGATTGACAAAAATTCGATTATAAGTACTCGCTAATCGTTCAACCGTACAATACTGAGTCTTACAACAACTTCATTCTAGCTCCTGAAGTGGACATGAAACTCGTGATGGCTGCAACTACAACAGCACTGCTTGTGTTGATTTTCTGCATGACAGTTGCACTGTTAACGATGAAAGGGAAAAGAATTCGCCAAATGAGGCCACTTAAAGTAAGTGCAGTCACCCAGTTTAATGTGTGGATAACCATGCTAAATTAGGACCCTTTTCAGGTAAACAAAAAGCGGAGAATGTAACCAGAGGAACACAAACAAATACGGGTCGAAATGAAAGCGTTATAGAAAAATATCTGGGGATTGTGCGATAAACAAGACCATATATAAATATGACTAGTCAATCACTCTTGAGTTGTTTAAAAACATATATTAAATACAAAATAACTAGTTAATTCCTAAAATGAAGAGGTAAGATATGTTCTTCCTTAACTGTGGGCATATTCTCTCAAATTTAACTGACAATACCCTTACCCGTAAAGTAGGCAGACGCAAGAGGGAACAAATGACTTAACCTGACTCGTCAAACAAATTACTAAACCCATAAATTACTGATGTGAAAAGAGTAGCTGTAATAGGTTAAATGTAGAGCACAGGAGGTTGAAAACTAACAACAACTTGGCTCAACGTAGAAATAGGATTGGGCAATCGAAAAAGAGGCAAGCCTCAAAACACGCCTTTGTGAGTACAACCCGATTTCTTTGGTAAATGAGTCTATTTAAGCTTAACAAGCCGTGATTTTTTAAATTCTAGTGCGAGAACCCAGCTCTGGAGGAAACTACGGAAGCAGATTGAGTGCGACAATGCATTGAGTTTTACAGTGACTAGACGGACAATGCAGATCCACATAACCAAAAATGAAAGAAAACACCGATTCCCTGACTAAAATAAAAAAAGAATGTCCAGGAAATGTTGTGCTAATATATCCATAAACGTCGGTGAGTTCTAAAAAATCCGGCTCAAATTCTGGATAGCGAATCGTGCCGAATTCTCAATGAAAATAACAGCAACTCTAAATTAATTTTACCTCAGTGGGCCCACACGGGCTCAAAAATTGTGGCACAGTTTGCCAGTTTTCGATTCACATGTTTGACACACGAAGTATACCCGCTCGAAAAGACAATGCCGATGCGCCTAAGCCGCAACAGGCATTGCACTTTTGTCACAGAAATCGCCGCGGTTCCCTTATTAAATATGACCGGGGGACAACAAGAAACGTGTAGTTACTGAGCAGAGTGAATTCAGCATTTATGTTGAGTAGACAAGAGCTTATTATACAAATTTTTGTTGGGATATCTATGCAGTAAACCACCGAAATCCTAAATCACACACCAAAAATAGAAAACAGCGGTAAATAAGGGTCGCGTGCAAGCAGGTTCGGTCTTGCAGCATGAACGGCTTTGTCCAATGGAGACTGCTTAGAGTAGACGAAACCTTTGTAATTCGACCAAATTGACACCACAATCTTTTTTAATGCAATTCAACTCTCAGTGTAGCTTGTACTACTCCACAACTTTTGCATCACTACTTTGATTGACATTATTTTGGACGGTCTACTTTTTGCCACCAGTGAGATTTCATCTAAAGAGATGTAATAATTAAAATTGAAATGCTCATCGTAGAGTGATTTGCGGTGCTTCGTGAAATTCAGTTCCCACAGAAAGCAAATACCTGGTATCTTAGTGGGTCGAAGATGGTCCGAGTGGTTATCGCTTGTTGCTTGACAAATGTTAGCACTCAGCAATCCGCCACACTTTTACATAACCACGACATAGAACTATGAAATTATTGATGAAAACTGATCAACGGAGAGTGGAAAACTTACATTAGTACCCTAATCTTTCGCCTTAGGAGGCATATCACAAGGGGAATCCAAAAAAATAAACCAACAGGAAAGCATAGAGAAAGGAAGACATCTTGCCACAGGAATATATTTGTTTCAAGTAGAAGCTCCCCTCAAGCGTTAGTGTTTCTGTCTTTGTAAAAGGTGTTAATTTCGGCAAGCAGACAAGGAATTAACGCGTTAAAATGAGGGATTCCGAGCGTGTCAACTATAGCGCTTTATTGGATTAAATTCACAGAAGTTAAGACTGCATTGAATGGCATTTATTTCTCAACTTTGATCCGAGCGTGTGGAAAGGGAAAGGAGAATGAGGAGGGGTTTGAGGTGTGCCTCAGACGTCTTTCAACAAGGGTAGGGTGGTCGTTGTTATACGCAATATACACATGGTATAAATACAAGAAAATGACGAATTTCGATAAGGGGATTTATTTGCTTTCGCTTTATCATGGTACAAAAATCTAGATAAGGTAGAAAACAGGAAGCAAAACTTCTGAGGCAGTGTGTGGGGAAGTTAAACGGAGGCTGCAGCCTAAAAAATTAAGAGACAGTGGTTACTAGCTGGGTATTCGGACTACAATAGTATTTTGGCAACCAGTGATATAATTACGAATGCAAATAGGTAATAGCCGAAACTGAATTTCAAGACTCGAATTTGTCGGTTATCGGTCTAATGAAGCTCATGAGTCTACGTGATTCCCCCGCGGTCTTCCGAGCAAAATGCAGAATCTGGAAGTGTGATAATGTCAGAAGGACCAGAATGAACCTGATATTAGTGATAGGGTACTACAAATCCATTCTAGGAAACAACGACAAAAGATCAACATGAATTCATGTAGTTACATAGACCCGTTGTGGGGGTGTACAAAACAGGGCATCACTCACCCTAGTGTTTCCAATTCGGGGGTTGTAACAGTGGATGTCTGAACATACCAGCGGCAAGCATAAACGAAGACGGATTGAGGGAGTTGGCAGCCGGTGGGATGACATTCGGTCGCCATAACGTTGATGAGGCCAGCCACGCAGCGGGATTTAAACCTGCAGCAATTAGACTCGCTGAGGCGGGCGGAACTCCGGGAGCCATCGGATTGCGACTATTGGCGTCACGAGAAGGAGCAGGAGGCTCATTCATACCCAGCATGTCCGCGAAGGCGGCCAATTTGCTGTTGCTGGTGCTGCCTCTGGAACATCGACTGGAAGAGGGATTTGGCGTCGTTTCAGATTGTGACTTGTGGTGGTAATTGCAAAAATTTGACTTCATAGTATTCCGACGCTGTTGAAAAGACGGTGGTGCGGGCGAATTTTCCCGCACCTTGGCCGCCTCCTGTTGGCTGAAGTAACTATAGCCGTCAAAAATCTCCGTAGAGCGGGAGGGAAGAAAAAAGGCTGGTGACGGGGAAGATGTTTGGGAGGGAGATTGTGAGGAATCAGGTCTGCCAAATTGATTTCGACTGAGACGGCCTTTAAGAAGGGCCTGAAGAGCATCCAGGGGGGAGGATAGAAGATTTTTCACCCCTGAACAAGATCAAAGAAAGTCCCTACCAAGTAGCTATGGGAACAATAGGGAAGCTACGACGTTTGGATGAAATACACAGTCGATGCATTGGTTTGTGCATACAACAATTACCGTCAAAATCAGTTAATGATATTTACTCATGTAATTTGCTCGACGGTCAAATGATGCGTCTGAATACAAAAATAATGATCAAGGTGCATCCAGAATCGTCGACAGATACCAAACCGATCGCCCTGAAAAATAATGAGCATGGCAGTGCGGTGAATCGTGTTGATTCACGTCCGTCCACTCTGTTGCCGCATACTCCGATACAACACCCTCCTTCTAACAGTGTGTCCATCGATCGTACGCTACCATCTTCTCATACATCCCCGTGTATGTACTTCCACCCACTACATCATTTAATCATCTAGCCATTCAGTAACTTGTACTTTTTAATAGTACACCTAAGCTGTATTGGTCAACAAACCCAGTCACGCACACACACAACTGAGTTGAGTCATCTTAAAAACGATAATGCCTCCACTATCTCCGATCTTCTTGATTTTCCCGCATATCAGCGTCGCGTGTTCGGGACCAAAACAGCCCGGCGGCCCTGGATCGGTCCAACACCACACGCCGTGACCTTCAACAGTTTAATGTACATTAACTACAAAACACAGTTTGCGCATAGAGAAGGCAGGTGCAGAAAGGTACAACGACCGATGTGTACTAATGCCCTGAAGCTCACCTTCTTCATCCAATCTGGGGCGCTTGGGTGGATCACCAAGGACACCTATTTTTGGGGTTTCCACAAGTTGCCAACGCTGTTGGTTAACGTCAACCAGAGGCGGAGGTTGTGGGAGCACGGCACGTGGTTGATTCGACATAAGAACTGGTATAGTTTGCATAGGGATTTGTGGAGCAGGCGAAGATGATTGTGGAGAGGGAGGGGGTGGCGGCCGACCTTCGAGTTTAGCCAAAAACACTCTTGCGGCCTGCCGCAATTCCGAAGGATCCCACTGCGGTTCGGGCAAGGACTCCAGGGGTACAGGTCGTATGTCGCGGGTCAACTTTGTGGACGAAGATGAACTGATGACCTCGATACTTTTACCTTGCGCTACAGCATTAGGGGTCGTAGGAGTTCGGGAAGGAGGAGGATGTCTACCAAGATAAGCAAAAAGCGCTACCGGTTGCTGCAAATGATACACGACTACAAAGTCATACAAATAATCTAAAGTTAAGCACGGAAAGCGGGTGCGTGTGTTGGCTCAGACTGAATAAGAACCAATAGCATTGGAACAAACCCTTGAACAAACAATGCTTGGATCTCCGTTGTCCTTTAATTTCTCCTATGTGATGCTGACGCAAAAAGCCCACTTTGTAGTCGCAAAAATAAATAAATTTAGTAAGCAGAGGAACAATCTATGATGACCAACTAGAAACCTACCAAATTTTTGCAAAAAATTTCAGACAAAATTTTCGGTTTGAGGGACTTTGGGGTATGTCAAAACTACAACACTTCATATAGATTTCCTTTACTGAAACAGGTTAATCGGTGGGGGCAATCAGCAGAGGCAACTTCAGAGCCAGGTCGAATGCGACCATCCGCACAAATCGAATCACTGCGCGTGTATAAGAATCAGTCAAGTTTTCACTATACCCATGTTTCAAGGCTTTCGGTGCTGATTGTAAGGAATCAAGTAACACCGTTTGCATGAAAATAGCTGCATTAAAGAATCCAGTACATAATCACTTGAAGCTCAATTTAGTGAAAAAACATACGGAATTTGTTTGGACTTGTTATAGGTGAAGTGAATAGGATTCTCGCGTTGGCTGGCACCTTCCATTTGCTTAAGAGCCCAATGAACCTCTTCCTCGAAGCTTTGGGCTAGCTGGGCGTCCGTAGGTGCAGGTGAGGCTATTTGCTGATCTTTTAAATTAACATTCGCGTTTGGTCGGTGGACTCCTAACACGCCCTTTTTGGTGAGATTATCCCTAAAGAGGCAAAAGGAAACGGAGAAATAACGTATAGGGACCTCTCTGGTGCAGTTAAAATATTCATGATCGATTTCCAGGAATCAATAAAATCCTATTCCGGAAAATTTAAGTGAGCACAGTGCTCCGATCATTCTGAGTGCATCAGCAATTAGGCTAAATTTGCCACAAACGACGAACGGTGAGACAGTTCACAAGGAAACATCGGACTTCCGAAATTGCATTGGACGATAAAAAGAGTTGTAAAACCCTAATCACGAACTTAGAGGGCCATAAAAAAGATAATTCACTGGCAAATTGGAAATTTGTACTCTTCGGTCTCTGCGATATTTCAAGCCGCACGTAAGCGGTGGCAGGTACTTAATAACTTCAGGATACACTGAGCCACCACTGTTTGACAAACGCCTACTGAAAAACTTACACAAACGTGAAAAACTCATCGGTTTTTGTAAAATTTGGCAAAAGTGGGCGTTCGCTGATGAATCCAACCTCGAAGTCAGGAAGGTAAACAACAGGACCACCAATGCTGATTTTGGCATCATCATCTCCTGTTGAGAAGAAATTCGGTAGTTTTGTGTCGTCCGGTTCATCTCCCTCATCAGAAAAGTGAGAAGACGAGGGGGAGGAGGCATCAATATCAAAAATCGGTCTTTGAGGTGAACTTAGGAGCCCTGAGTGTGTTGAGAACCGCTTTTCTGCACATCCATTAGAATCTTTTTCATCTTCGTCTTCTGACGAAGAGCTATAATCCAACATTTCTCCCTCCTCAATCTCCTCTTCTGCTTCATCTTGGACAAAGCTACCCAACGATTGCGCTGTAGGCTCGGGTGGTTTTGGTGATGGTTCAGAGGCGACTGAAGAAGCGGGATGGGAGGGAACACCAACTAGTTTCAAAGGTGATGTCGCCATGGAAGTCGGCGGTTTTTTAGCGGCTATGACCTCAGTACTGGTCTTTAAGGTGGCTAAATTGAAAAGTTGGAGCATGAGGACAAAAAAAAATAGAACAAGCAGTTTTAAGTTTTATACCTTTGGTGATTCGAAAGCACCACTAGGAAGTTAAAATTAAAATTGCTTACCTCACCACTGAAAGATAGATTTAAGGCAAATACACCTAAGTCTTTGAAATTGATGTGCAAGAGGTATAAAAGATTCAGGGATGATTTAATGCCTCTTACAAATCCCTCATTAGTAAAATATAAAAAAATATGTTAAAAGAATTGGATAAAACAGTGGGTAAAATTGCTAAAGACAATAGCAAGGATATCAGTGTCCTGGATTCACAGAGATCGAAATAAAAAAAAGTTGATGGAAACTTGTAATATTTGACGCAAAGTAAATCACAAACACTAAGAAAATATCTAGAAAATATGAGACAGAGGAAATAACAAGATTAGAAAAAACCACAACATACAGTTTTCCTTCTCTACCATAATACTGGGCCGCTTCCGACCTTCGTTACATTCCACCTGCTGAGCATAGGAAGCCAGGCGCTGTGTTTTGATTGCCTTATCACTTTTGTCCAACAATATTAACTGATAAAGCAGAGGGTAGTGATGTCTCTGTTAGACAAAAAAAAAGAATAAACTACGTTGGGCTTCAATCAGACAAAATGATGACTTTGAGATTCAAGCTGACGTTAAAAGTAAGGGATGCTAGATATAACATACTGAAGACAGTGACAGCTAAACACTCTGATTTATTCTCTAAACATGATTAAGCCCCTGTCAGCATGTGAATCCATTTGGCATCACAGCAAATCGGGTACATCACTGTGGACAGAGGCCTGGGTGACTGATAACTAACCGGACATCATTAAAAGATAATAAGATAATGAAAGGCTCATAGAAGTCTTACTAGGTAAGCCAATCGATGCCTGATTCCACAGACGTGTTTAATCACGACAGAAGATAGAAATGTTTGCTTTTTGCACAAGTCACAAACATAGATGCACTCAAGTAAGCCACGGCGTTGGAACTCGGTAACATAGTTCAAGCCAACCAATGGTTGTATGCAGATGTCGAGCAAATGCTGAAGTCGCAATTGAGGTTTTTGGCAAGGACGCAAGTCCGCAATGGGTTTGTTTCGGGACATCACAGACTGGGAAGGAAGCGGATGTATCTAAACACAAGGGAAAGCACATGGGTTAAACATTACAACGAATGTTGAAGAAGAGAATGCGCACTAACTTGAGGAGTCCAGAGTGGAGGAGGGATATCTAAAACAGTGCTTGCGTTGTCCGTGATGGCTTTTGTCAATGCGTTTTGAATGTGGCAAACACCTCGAAGATGTATGTCATACGCCCTTTGAGTGGGCAAGTATCGACCACAGTCCTCGCACCAAACTCTTGGATCTGTCGGTGGTGGGACAGAAGTGAGAGAGAAAGGGTTGGTGATTGGAGGCGGTGGTGCTTGTTCTGGGTTTGAAGCTGACGTAGGAGGAGGACGTGAGAGATCTTGACATCAAGGAGAGCATAAGTTCAAACAACTAATCAAAGCATCCACACTACTTAAAATACAAAACCCACCAAACATTGGTGCCTGATCCTTTGAGTTGGGCTGGGATGCCATCCACTTTTGGTACATCACGTCCCAGTCAATACCCATTTGTTTGCTGCATTCCGTGAAAAGTTGAAACCATTCTGGGTGCGTTCGAGAAATCCAACTAAGATAGTTATGCCAGGAAGACCAGCACCAGTCACGTGCACCATTACGACGAAAATACCCAGCCATTATGGTTTTCGATTGACCCCATGGATCGTTTTCGAGAGATTTGCCACCCTAAGTATCAAAAAGCATTACTTAAGTTAAAAAAAACTATGTGACTGATTCTAGCTAACCAATGTTACCTGGGTAGCGCTAGCAACCATGTTCTCGTTCGGATGAAGGGTAGACAAGCGCCCGTCGTCCAGATTATCGAGCAGAGTTTTGAAGTAGGCTAAAACGTCCGAATAGTACTGTCTGTAAATGGCAATGGTAGCTGTCGACTGAATTTCAGGGCTCCCATTTTTTCCATTTATAGCTTGTAAGGAAGGAAGTTGGGCGTTTAGTAAACCGCACTTATTAAGATGCACATTTTGATTTGGAGAGGTCTTATGGGTACCGGCAACCGAAGACGGTGATGGCTGAGATGACTCAAAGGGCACTTGATTCGAGGGTGCGAATGAAGGGCAGTGACAAGTAGTCTGACATGAGCTGAGTAACAAAGGCATGGTACGAGCACTCGGACTGACGGAAATGTCCGGGAAAAAAGACGGCGAGGGTAACGCGGGAGACGATAATTGAGTGCAGTGAAAATTTTGGGGAACCACAGGACGACCGTCAAATGATTGAAAGCGCAATCCTGCCGCAGAACTAGAGGAAGATAAACTAGTAGGCTGTAAACTCATTTGTGTTGTTTTAAGAGTAGATGCACCATTCATGGGCTAGAAAACAACCTGTGACCGCGTGCTAACTTTAAGAGTGCCAAATTGAATCTCGCGCTTTTAATTCTAAATATACATACATTTTTTAATAAAGTATTTTGTAAAAGACAAAAAAATATATAGGTTACGTGTTGGTGACAAAAACCTTGTTTTAATAGTTTGTGAAGTAAAAGGAGCTTTTGGTTTTCAATTGATTGGTTATACCGACGGCCGCCGGAATGTTTCCCAGTCGTCCTCCTGTAAACTTACAGTTTGATCTATTGCGTTATTTATGTTGTGTTTAATACATTACGAACTTTTTTGCATTTATTGGTTCTTGCCTAGGTGCCTTCTGGGCCAGGTCCGTCCTATAAGTTTACTGTTGTTGAGACCTGTGAGCGCATTAAAGATGAATTTAACTACGTCCAGCAACAATGTCATCAGTATGTTGTGTTTTTTATCTGAGTTTTATGTAGACTTCAAACTGAGCGTGAGAAACTTCTCAGTGAACGCGTTGATATGCAACGCATTTGTGTTGTTTATTATGAAATGGCTAATGGGCTCAACCTAGAGATGCACCGTCAAATGGAGATTGCAAAACGCCTCAACGCTATTTTGACGCAAGTTATCCCCTTTCTTGCTCAAGAGGTTTGTCCAGCCATGTACTATACATGATGTTCCATCATAGCACCAATCCCAGGTTGCATCAGCGATCGAGCGAGCGAAGCAGGTGACAATGCAAGAATTAAACTCTGTTCTCGCGGTATATTTTTCTTCTAATTAAATTTTGTACAATAGGCACAGATGGAAGACTCAAAGTTATCCAAATTTGCCAATGGTGGGAGCATGGGGTTATCTAATGACCAGCTGGAAATTTATAAGGTATCTTCGGTTCTTGCAAGTCTTCATTCGCTTTTAGCAAATTCAAGCTCATCAAATGTCGTCTACTGGAAGTCCAGCAACATCACTTCCTGGTGGTTCGTCTAGCAACCAAACGGGCTCTCATGGATCTAATATCGGCAACACCCCAGTATCAAGTGCTACATTTCCTGGATCTAATCCAAACATGATCCCGTCCAATCCATCGTCTTTGCCAGCAGCTTTTCTTAATGGATTAATGTCGGCTGCAGGTGGTGTTATGATGCCTCCCCCTGGATCAACTGGTATTCCTCTTAGTGGTGGAACTGGACGAGAAATTAAGGATTATTCATCTGATGATAAACAGGTTCGGAAAGTTCTCACCATTTGTTATTCCAAGTCTTACTAGTGTTCAAATAATCCAGTGTAGTTTAGGTGTTTCCACAACTGCCCTTAGTCTTGAGAAATGTATTTTTATAGGTCCCCGTAATAGTCGCCCCGTGGGTTCGGTGATTCCGGTAGTGCATTAAACTACTATTTCTTGAACAAGATTTTCTGGCTTCTAAAATAGTACTTTCGAAAAAAATATGGTATCTTAGTTCGAGTTCTATTTCCTAGTTGATTAACAAGTGTTGGCGTAACTAATTTCGATTCCTCGGGCGCTTCATAATCGCTTTTGTCTTAGTCAAGATTTCTTTGTTGTCTATTTTGAGGTACCTATCCTAAATAAATAGTACGACTACTTGTTCATGTCCTGGAGCGCCTCCGCATTATTTGAGTAGCGTTTTATCAACTCAGTTGTGATTGAAGTCCCTGACCCTTACTTTTTGCTACTTGACTCCGTTAGTTGTCAGTCGGTCTCGGAAGTTAGTTTTCACAAAATAGAACTTCCCAATGTATTCCCCTTTAGCGAGTAGCAGCTGCTGCTGCAGCAGCAGCTACCTCACTACTCTATCCGAGCGGCGGACGTGTTGGTGTTGGCACGGGCCAACCCAACTTGCCTACCTCACCGTTTTTATCTGCTGGACCTGCTGCCGTAGCTGCAGCCGCGGCATCCTTCCCTGAGAGTTTTTTCAGCGGGAGTGGACTTGCCTCAACCTCGCCTGGTGTAACAGTTCCCTCAGTCACGAACATCCCTGGCCGAACATCGTCAGCTGGAGGAATTAGACACAACAGCGGACACTCGACTAGCGGTGGTACCGGATCTTCATCGCTTCTTCCTCCGCCTCCCCCACCGACACCTGGCAATACATCGGCTACTAGTCCACAGGATGAAAAAAGGCGCAAGCTTAATGACACAAAAATGGTTAGTGCTTAGTTCTGGCCCCATTTATTCTCCCTAGGATCATTTAGTCAACTCGCTTGAACATGGTCTTAATTAGATTCTTGTTTGTTGCCCCCACAGTCAAAACAATAGTTTCCTCTAATTGTATTCCGTTAATCAGGTGGTGAATTAAGTTCGGATATGTATAACAGGCTCGATTTTACTCTAATTAGTGGTTTTGTCGACTTAATCATTTTCGTTATATCTAATTTAACTTGCTCTGTTTCCTTTTACTGTTTTCTTTGATTTCACTAGATAAACAGAAAAGCAGAAAATTAAAAATGCTGGGTATAGGGCGAGAAAGTCAAACTTGCGAATTTTCTCTCATTTTTTGGCTCGCCGACTTTCCCTTCAACTTTTTCGACCGTTTTCAATTCTAAGCGCACACACGCACACACAAAACCGGGGAATAGCTTTTCCCGACAAACTTTCAAAAGCAGCGCACTTCTCTGTCGGCCTATTTTGTGCTCGTGTTTGCGCTTGGTAACCTCAATCATTTTTGCCTCCAATGCACACATTTTTTCTGATCTTGTTCTATTTCTCATCCGCAGGAATGTTTGGGCCGTGAGAACGGAGGATGGCGCAGTGCTGATGATATGGTTAGTCTTGCGGTTTATAAGTCACGTCTTGGCATGATTTTCATCTCGTCAGTTATCCAGCCGTCAAGTTTTGTTTTCACCGCTGCCTAATACCTCCGTCTCATAGTTCGTAATATTGCTTCAATAGTTTTTTTTCCTACTAAAGCAATGTTTTCGAGTAGATGACAACTAATTGTCCTCGCTAAACTGCCCCAACCCTTAAAATGGTTGCTTTACCGGCTAATCCTAAATATAAGGTTTTTTTTTATTGAACCTGCTGTTTTGTTTAAACTACCCTATGATATAGAGTAGCAGATCCTTCACTGCAAACCTCATGTCAATTTTGTTCTTCTCTTTTTCCATCTTGACACATTTGTCTTTGAGATAACCAATGAGAAAATGCCCTCACATTTTTCCTTTTTACACGTGCACACACACACACATATCCACGCCCTAAATTCTTCACGTTTTTGGCGCTAGACGGTGTAGGCAACTTGTTCACATGCAGGCCTTTGGTGAAGTGGCTCCGCCTCCTAGTTTCTCCATTATGTGTCCACTCTCCTAAATAGCACTCGGCGTCACATTGTGTATGCCAGTGTGACCTGTTGTTCCTAATTTTTTTTATTTCCTAGGATAAATCGGGCACTATATCGAATGCTGCGACAGTGACCACAAATCGTCGTGCCGGCAGGCAACCACTAAGTATGTTTTTTCCGCCTTTGTGAATCCCTGAGTGACATTAAATTTACTAACTCTGGTAAATGTCAAAATGCAAAGGTTTTAAGGTATTTAGACTCTATCTTCAATTTTATTGTCATAGAAATTTATTTTGTATCACCGGGTGTATTGTGTTTTCCAGCAATTCGGGAGCCAACATACAACTCGATAAATTCCCAATTTATGGGTGCTCCTTAATATTGTGCTCTAGCTTATTACATGGAATGAACCATCACGGGATCTTTGCCAACCACTCCGTGGCCCCGTCAAATCAAAGAATTTCCTGCACCAATTCGTCCTTTGTCGGCTTCCTAGTATATAGTCATTCGTATTCTTGTAACTTAGTATTTTACAAATAATGAGGTAACACTTCAGTTTTCATTCAACTCGAGTAAATCCTTCCGCAACACATGTTTATTAGCTAACTCCTTTATTTCCTTTAACTAGCCTTTGCATAGAAGTGGTGCCATGCGTAAAATGGCTCATTAATTTTGTCGGTCGGACTTTGCCAGGTTGCGATGCGGTAGTTCTCTCATCACTGGGGTTTTTTGTGTAACTTTCTTCTGTCGTTTTAAATCTGGTGAATATGCATTTTGTGATGGTCTTCATTGGTTCAACCCTTCTAATTACCATCTTCGGTACGTTGGTAACACCTTGCAGGACTGTTCATTCATCTTAATGGTGTACATTTGAGATTTAGCACGGAGTTATTTTTTTCTTTGAAATTGATCTGGTGGTTGGGCAACAGGCAGCACTTCGTTGAGCTTATGCTTATCATTTTCCTTTGTGCGATTGTAGATCTTAGTCCACAACTGGCCAATTCAATGGGTAGCAGCTATCCGACCACAAATAGTGCTCCTGCTGTCGGAACTGCACTTAACCGACCTCCCCAAGTTAGTAGATTTTATTCCTTTTAATGATTGTATAACCTAAGCGGGCCTCGCAGAAACGTTTACTCAATCTAAACCATGTAGCTTAGCCTTAAGACGTTCATAGTAAGTACTTTTCATATGTGAAGTAGAATAATTTCTATTTCTCTTCCCAAAGCCTGTCGTCATATTTTTTCATTTAAAAATAAGGTATTTGGATGGATGATATGCCCAAACTCTAGTTTCATTGTGTTATTTTAACCCGATAGTATTCCCTTCTGATTGTCTGAATTCCTCCTAATACAATTTTAACAAATTAAGTGAAATTAGACTTCGTATTTGCTAATTTCTTTCATCACCTCAATGTCGAGTTGTCATGCCGCGTACAATTCCCAAACTTGTTGCATTGGAGTCGGCCTTCATTTTCCCGTATCAATTTCTGATGACGTTGTATTTCTATCTACTAAGTCCGTTAAATTAACTTCATTGTTTTCCTGTTTACTTTTTTTAAACTTCACATTTAATGGTACTTTGTATACGATATTGGCCTCACGCTACGGTCTCGTTCCACGTTCGGCGTGATCCAGCTGCCCATTTAATCCTTTTTTCCGTTAATCGTATCGCTAAGGCTCGTGCGTAACCCCTTTAGCGCTCCGGTTAACCGTGATTTTTTATCCATTTAGAGTGAAAGCCGTTCGAGGTACGGCGGAAAAAGGTAAGTACACAGTCACCTTATGTTCATGCCTACCTACGCTACCTTAAAAACTGAAGTATAATTACGATTTTAAAACAATTGTCCGCTTACGCACCAATGAATAATACAGTAGTTAGGCTTGGGTTGTACTCTTTCCCATTTAACATACTTCTCGTCCATCATTATGTGGGTGCGCTTTTGTGCTGATAAAAACAAATAACTGGGGTAACCAGTGTTTCACCACGTTTTTTTTCGGGCACATCTGTTTTATAGGTAGGTCGTGTGTCTAATCGAATACTTATTCAGTCATATTTGATTTGGTACACATAAGCAAGATTCGTTTTACTGTCGGTTCTTTGACGTCTATAGTTCTACGTGGTTCTGTCATGTGAACACGAATAAGTTTCAAATAGTTGACACGATTTTCGTTCCTATTGGTCCAGTTTTGCTATCAAGTCCTACTGCTAGGTCATTGCAGGTCTGTTTTACTTGTTTTCGCCTCTGCTAGGTAATATATGTCTGATGTTAGGCGATGGTAACTATTTACAATTCCCTCAACGCGCGTTTTTTTTGTGTGTGTGTGTTACCGGTTTCGAACGATTATCAAACAGCAGTGGCTTGTTTTAGCCAAAACTTAAGGCATTCACGTATTGAGCTAATTTCTGGTAAGATGTTCATGCTGAAAAAGGAATCATTTCCCGATAAAAATCAGTCTTTGTCTTGGCCTGATCTACATTAGGTTGTATCTAAACACGGAGTGCAGTGAAATTCTTTAATGCCTATCTGTTTAGTTCAGCTTGGCTATGCCATGTCGTGCAAGTACTAGCCGCCCACAAGTAAATCCGTCAACGTGTGTGAATTCAAAATCTGGGCCATGGCTACCCACACCCGGCGTTCCTTCTGACCCCGATTTGTGCCTCATGTAGCCTAACCAAAACTCATGCCAGTCAAGCGTGCCTCGGTGTTGGGTGGTCGTAATCCTCTAATTCTTCCAATTGTCTGTGCCCGCCCTTGTTCATTGGGAAAGTATGTTGGAAACCCAATTCTCCGCCACATGTCTGTCTGTCGAGGATTTATTTGCTAGCCTAATTACCTGACTCAGCGTTTTGCTGTGGGTTATATCCCTGGGTCTCGACTTCACGGAACAAGTAGTTAAAAGACCGTCTGGAGACTTGTCTGTTTATTCAACACTCAGGCCGTTTCCAGTTTAGTTTACCTTGCATCCGGATTTAATAACCACCTGCCTGGTTTGTATTCTTCTCAATTCTACGGTCTGGTGACAATCTACAAGGTTTGCGGTTTGATTTCTCGATTTATTTCCCGAGGTTGGTTCTTACACGACACCCCCGAACTGTCCGTTTAATTGGGCGTTCAAACCGTGCGTAAGCTAACGGGTTCTAATTGCCCCTTAATTTCGAAATTTATATTAATTTTCTGATTTTACCTTAGTTCGATTAATTATCATTCACTTCGTCATTCAGCAGCCTGTCATCATCAGGTCCGGGTGCTTACTCGTATGTCGTCTTACCGGGTGGTTCGGGCACGCGCCCCTGTGCTCTGGCGTCAGCGCCAGAAGCTACCACGAATCCGAGTCTGCCTCGGCGTCTACAGCACCTAGCTAGTCTCCCGCACGGTGAAGTCGTCTGTGCTGTGACCATCGGCCCGTCACCAACTGGACGAAGCACCACCAGCAGCAGAAATGCCTCACCTTCGCCCGCTGCTGCTTCACCCTCTCTCAAGTACGAGAGTGGTGTCGATGTGGAGGGCACTGTGGCATCCCCTTCCGCACGGATTCCACACTTTGCTTACACCGGTGGACGGGGTTGTGTCAAACTTTGGGACTTAGACGTGATTGCTGGCTCCTCTTCCAGAGATGTTGTTGCACTTGCTTCTTTCGATTGTCTTCGACCTGACAGCTATGTTCGATCAATTAAGCTCTTCCCTGTGAGTTTTTAAATTTGATATTCACCCTTACAATGTACGATGTCTTTAGTATAGTTGGATTTAAACGGCGTTTACTTTTAAAACGCCCTGAGTGTCAACTCGTAAACTAGTCGTATTTTTAGTCTATTTCATCTGTGCTATTATATCCTCAAATTTCAGAATTTGGTCACTAAGTTGACCATCCCTTTAAAAAATGTCGGCTGAGAAAAAAAAATCAAATTCGCAAATTTGTTTTAAACTCTAATGAATAAAATATGTCGTGTACTTATTTTGGAAAAGAGAATTACGTGACGTACATCAAAATTGTCGGTTTTTAGTATTCTGTAACTACTAGGCGACTGCGCGTGGCAACGGCGAAGTCACCGGCGTGAGGCTGTGCCGATTGGGTCTCCACAAGGCTTTCATGTCTCAATTCACGTGGTGTTAAGATTCCCTACTAGTCCACCCCTTTTGTCTCGAAACCGTCTTGATACCAATATTTAGTGTCCTATCATTAACAGTAAGGCTTTTTAGTTAGTTATGATACCATGTACGGCCGTTGTGGTAGGCCGTTCATTTGCGTTCCCCGAATAAACAAACTAATGATGCTTATGTTACCTCAATCGCGCATTAGGCTTTTCCACATTTGTCCCTCATATTGCGTAATCGCTTTTGGGTAAAGTTTGTGAGAGCTATGAGGTAGACTGGATCTCCGTCAAGAATTTATTACAGTGCTAAATACTGGATATCCTTTGTACGAAAAACATTGGCCCTTTTATCCAAACACTTTGTACTGAATGTAGGATGCCTCGGGTCTTGTGATTGGTGGAGAATCAAGTGCTCTTACGATTTGGGATCTGAACGGTCCCGGTCGACGGAAAGCTGACCTCAATTTTGACGCTCCCGCTTGCTACGCTCTTGCTCTTTCCCCTGACTGCAAACTTTGTTACAGGTGAATTCTAATTTTAATTATTCGCTTATGTTAAACATGGTATTTCTCATTAAAACCTTTTTTCAAGTTACCCTATTCCACAAGGCAATGCACGAAAAGAAGTTCCCTCACTATTTTTTCTAGTAAACCCCTTTGAAAATATTTCTACTTCTTATCCTCGTTGTCACCTTACCTCCTTATTTGGATCCGTAATTACTGAACTTGATCTTTTTATGTTTCCTTGTTCGAATTTGTAGTTAATAATGTCGGTTGCACTTCGATGGACAGACCTCAAAATATTGTTTTAAGCTTATACCCAAGGCCGATAATTTTTTTCTCCTTAAGGACAGCTTTGTTATCTACTGGGACCGAAAACCAGAGTGACTGAAAAAGCGCTGTCGTACCTTTAGGTGCTTTTATCACTAGATCGATTTTGACGATGGAAAAAATGAGTGGGGCGTCGTTTCGTTTGGTAATTCATAACAAATTTGCTGTCCCTCGGTTTACCATGATTTAAACAGCAGGTGGTCTTCAGTTATGTAAATATTAAGAGCACTGATCCCAAGTTGGAGTAACCGATATCCTCGGTATCGCTCATTCCTGACTTCCGAGCACACACAGTTGTTATTTTGGTTTCTTCTGCGGATGGTAACCTAATTGTGTTATACCGAAGCCTCCAGCCATTCTGACAATCATCTCGTGTAATGTACTCGTGGAGTGGATGAATTCTCTCCTCACCCCCCACTCACGTCTGCCATCTTTATTGGCGGTATATTTTTTTTCCTACCTGCCACTGGTTAATGAGATTCGCAGTACTTTTTGAGTGCTTTCCCCAGCTTTCAATTAACAACGTCAAATGCATTTAACGTCTCTGATGCACCATTGGCTAATTAACATTCATGTCTTCTGCATTATTAACGCACTGCCTCCCTTTTAACACCTTTCTAACAAGGAATGTTTCAAGCAATTTATCCGAGTGTTTTGAGTTACGGAACCAAAACGCAGCACCTCGGCAAGAACACGAAATGGTTCTCTTGTGTAGACACTTTGACGGCACCCGCAGCGACCCCCACCGTCATTCGTGTGGACGGGTGATTGCACTATGCCCGCATTCGCGACACTACCAAAGACGCCATAAGAGTGAGAGAGCCCAAGCGAGGATGACTCACCGTTTCTAATAGCCACCCAAGCCATTAAACCCGACAGTGCTTGAAAGTACTCAACTCCTGGGCGAACCCGCTGGCACATTTACATCCAGTGACGCTATTCAAGTGGGGTTCCCTGTGATGATCCCGGGGGACACCTCATAGATAAGGTGATGTCCACGGGGCTGTGAGCGAATGGTTTTGCAAAAGGCATGACTGGCTTCCAAACATCTTTTTCGTAAAATCCCATTTTTTACGCGTCTACTTACCAAGGTCTGTGTAAACCGACATGAGTCTCTTTTCTAAGTAGGTGATTTTGAAATCTCATGACTCCAAACCTAACAGTGGGAGTCATCAAATTAGGATGTTTTCAATATTCCCCTACCACAACGTCATCGTTCAAAGTCGTGCTGCTTTGAACGATGCTTGGAACCGACGGGGGTGTGCCGATTTGGAATGGTTCTCACGTTGATCCATACACGTGTTCAACATAAAGACATGTTAATACATGAAGTCAACACTGTTTACCTTTTGTAGAAAGTCCTAGTTTTGGGATACGTCGTCTTATGAAATTACCGTTCTCTCTCCCCCCTTGGGTGACGTGTTGTGTGTCTGACTGTGCTTTTTTCTCGGAATGATTAGCATTCTTGAGTTAGTGGCAAATTATTTTATTACGCGAGGTTTCAAAACCAAGGCGTTCTTTTGCACTTTACAGCTCGATAAAATCCAATGAAAATTCCTTTTTGCTAACTTATCCAAATTGCTATTTCAACATTGTGTACGTTACACAGGGGGTCTCATATCTCATTACTGGCTATTGGTGCTTGATCGATTTTTATATAGATATTCAGTTTTATGCAGGATAATTCACGTCCTTTTGAAGACGATTTGGTTTCTATTTGAGTTGAAACGACGCTCCACATTTATCTTTTGATATCTTGAACATATGTAATGTTCCGATTAAGGCCAGGCTCTGATGTACTTTTAATTGCATCCCAGGAGGGCATTAATCGGTACCTTAAAGCTGATTTTGAGTTCCATCATTACTGTTTGCTTTTTTTGATCGCGAGTCTTCACTTACCTTGTGTTCTCCATAACATTATTTTACCACTGTTTTCCGATAGTGTTTGTTTTTACATGCTTTCTTTAGTCTTTGATGATTCTGGTAGTTTTTCTGCCAGCATATCTTCCTTATTGGTTTCTCCTGTTCCCTATGACAAATACCGATACCAATAGGCCTTTTGTTTATTTTGGATGTTGATTCTGATTATTCCATCTTTAAACACCTGATAGCCATCCTTGTTGAAGGTGTTCTGAGATTCCCTAACCTTCAAATCATTTTCGACAAAATTTTTGAAAGGTCTCCATGTCTTGTGAATCTCACTAAAAGATGCTTTTTGTGGATTAAACGAACTTCTGTTAAATCTCCTTGAGTTTCAGACAGTTGACATAATTTTGCTGGCTACTCATGCCCTTTTAGTTGCTGTTCTGACGGTCACGTGGCGGTGTGGGATATCCATAATCAAAGCGTTGTCCAACAATTTCATGCTCATGGAGATGGAGCTTCTTGTATTGAATTGGCATCACAAGGGACTAGACTGTGGACTGGTGGGCTCGATAACAAAGTTCGCTGCTGGGACATTCGTGGTTCCGTAAGTCGATGTTCATCTATTGTCTTGCAATCCTTATATTCTAAATGATCAATTTAGTAGATTGTCGAATCCTCCTGAGGTTCATAGTTTCATATTAATCCAACTTCACTGTTTGAGGTACTTTTGAATTTCCAGCCAACTTGGCCAGGCTTTTAGCAATGTTCTCCTAACATGGGTTTGGTCTCCATGGGTTTTAAAATAGATCCTGCTGTTCACAAATTTATAACAGTATTTTTTGTCATCTTGCCCATGAGCACCTCGAAGTATAACAACGCTGGGCCGATTGCAATGTTTGACGGGCTGCAAGTTGCACGTGTTTTTGCATAAGTGTACGAGTGCAATTAATGTGTCTGCATGCCCGTCTAGTCTCATTCATTATCAGAGCATGAAAGAACACTTCCAAACACGCACGCACACAGCCATATCGTTGTTGTGGGATTGATGCGAGCGGGAAGAAAATGATCTCGATCAGATTAAGCGTCCTATGTAGTCTACTTTTCGTCATTCCGAGAAGTTACAACATTGCTGGAAGAGTGGAATCGATTTTTCTGATTTCACTGTTAAGGTTTCACTTGTGAGAATAAAATATCCATTGTGTATGGAACTTTGACACACTCCGCGACATCTTGTTGCAAGTATCGTGTCGTGAAGTCTACTCTTCGATGTCATCACCAGTGCTCTCGTTTTTGAGCTACCCAAGCCCAACCATTCTCTTTGAGTGCATCATCGCTCACAGTCTTGTTATTACTTTATCACCCCCGCTGATGGCAACCAAGTTTTTCATAAAATATACGCCTGACACGTGAGACTGAGTCGCGACTGGATGCTTGTCTTGGCTAATTCACTGGTTTGTAATCTATTGCTAGCAACTTCTCTGATTTATGTCCTGCCCACCGAAGTATACTTTTCTCGATGTTGCGGCTTTGAGATGCCTCCTACTGTTTACAAGACACTAAACTCGCATAAAGAATAGGTTGTTTCCTCTGCCCGCTAAGTGCAGGCATGGGGAATATTTTCATAGAGGAACCAACGTCTTAATTTTTTCTGTCGAGATTTTTAGATTAGAAGGCTTTAATGTAACAATGGCTGCTAGTTTTACCCTAATCTTGGCTGAATTTCATTAGAATGACGACAGGTCCTGGTAGTAAGTCGTTTGTTTCGGGTAAAATTAAAGTGATCATCAATTATTTGTCTGTCTTTCAGTCCTCTCACCGACTTCACCACATTGAATTTAAGTCGCAAGTTTTTTCCCTGGGTCTTTCGCCAATTTGCGGCCTTCGAGGACGCCGTCCTAGTTTTGCTGTGGCCCCATCTCCCGCTGCTTTAGAGGACACAGCCAACGGCTCCTCTGACGCCCTCTTCTACGGGACCCAGTGGATAGCCGTCGGCCTCGAGTCCTCCGAGGTCGAAGTGGTTGCTATTGGTTCCGACGGCCCTCCTCCCCTTATAACTGCGGGCAACCCTCCTTTAAAACCCTCTTCAAGCCCGCAGGCCTCCAGTCCCCAGGGCTCGTCGTCGATAGCGGTCCAGGACCAACATTTCCGGTTGACGCATCATGAGAGCTGCGTCCTGGCCTTGAGGTTCGCGCATCATGCTGATTGGTTCATTACAACTGGAAAGGACCACCAAGTGAACGCCTGGAGAACGCCTTACGGAGCTTGCCTGCTTGAGGTGGGCCTTGGTTTGTGGGGTTTTAATAAAATGGTAATCTGAGCACAGGATGGTGGATATTCAGGCAGTTTGAATCTGCACAAATGATCTGACAAGTAGTAAAGTGTAAACGGTCGATTGACGACCCTTATTCCGACCTCACTAATTTCCTAGCTGAACAAACACTCCTTATTTATAATTTCCCCTTCAGACAAAAGAAGCGGCCTCAGTGCTGACTTGCGACATCTCGCCGGACGATAAATTTGTGGTCACAGGCTCAGGTGATAAACGTGCGAACCTCTACGAAGTCATCTACGGCGCGGGCTCGGTTGCTTCATCTGCCTCTAATGTCTCATCTCATTAGCACACGAAGAATGGAAACAGTTGTGCAACCTTTTCGTGTCAATTCTCCCTATCCCTCTCTTGGCAGTCCATTACGCAGGGAAATGCGCACTGCATCGGCAACACACGCTACTGACGTCTTCTCACATAATTGCTACGACCCTCTACTGCTAATGCTGCCGCCATTCCGTCTTGTCCCACGTTGCATTTACATCCCACTAACCCCTACCTAGCTAAGTGTAAATTTCCCCATTGTCTTCGACTTGTCACCATTACCGCAATAGCACAAACCACCACTTGTACATTAGCCTCTTGTTAAGTCCTGATGGCTTTTATTTATCCATTCACGTGCCCTCTCCTATCATCGGCCTGTACATACAACTTTAAGACTTATCGATCAATCAGCGCATTTTAACTCATCTCGTGCTTTTGGTGTCTAATTGCTATCTCCACCTTCTCACCGGGATTGCGCGAACATTCGATCTCTTCTGACTCGTCCTACTCTTTTCTTACAAACGAAACTCAAATGTAGCTTATGGTGTCTGTCTTCTGAAGCCAGCCCCGAGCTCCCACCAACTCGCTGGCTCGTTCAAGTCGAGTCGTGTTCACATCCCCCGGCATCCCCCCGCACACAATCGCCGCTGCATAACCTAAAATTGATATGTAAACCGGATGAATGCCACTTGCGCGCATACTCGCTATATTAAATATATACCGAGGATGTTTTATGTTGAAACGGAGTTTTTCTTTTCTTGCGGGTGGTCTGTAATTATTGAGGGACTTAGTTCTACCTGATACTAGCTTCGCTAAAGGGAACTCAAGATGTCAATTACTCTACCCTCCTATTACTCTCTTCGTAGTAATGAAAAGTAAGTAACTTCTTTCGTCCATTGAAGGTTATTTTTGTTTCGCGGGGTCAACTCACGCGACTTCGCTGGCGCGTGTTTGCCTTTGTTACCTCAAATCTTGGGAACGAAGTACACACCACTCATTCTTTACTGGAAACGAGGGATTTAGGAAGTGATTTTAGCCTTCTGACCCGCCCATCATCGTCATTGTGCGAAAGAGAAGACAGTTCTTTATATTCATTAGCAAGGCCTTAGGGTTCAATGAACACGTCTGTGTTGATTTGCAGCCACCCTTCAGTCTAAACACCTAACGCTTTGGCTTTGTTCAGTCTACCAACGGCACTGATGCATTCTGGAGTCCAAGTTCAGTTCACTCGTCAGCTGTGTGCCGTGAGGCGGCTACTGGGATCAAACAGTTGGCCTTGTCAAGTGTAAGGAAGTTGTTGATCGCCAACTCTCACATTTTTAAAAAGCTATGAAAAAAACTTAGTGGGATTATTAATGTGTCTTAAATTAGCATCAAAATTTGCTTTACACATCAAGGGTCAGCCCAATGAAATCATCCCTTCGTGTCTTCTGATCGAAGTGCATCTCGAAGTAACCAGTTTTTTATAAGATGAAGGTCCTCTCTGAAACACTTTCATGTTCCTTGATGGTCAGTCATTGTTCATTTCATCCAAATCTCTTAATCGAAATGGTGGTTCAATTAGGTTGCACCAAAATTGGGATCTCGCGATATTCCAACACTTACCCGTTGTAATGACTGTTTACGTATCCTCGGACAGATTTATTTTTCTCTAGAAAGTCTTTTAAAATGTACCTACCCCCATATCAAAAATCATGTGATATTTACGGGTCTGAAATGATCCAGTTTTGAGGAGGACGTAGCAGGATGGAGATTCCGGAGTTTTTTGTTTCGCCCTGATCATATTGTTTCGTACAGGAACTGCGTTAATACCAAAATGAGTATTTCAGCAAGCCTCAATGACTTCTTGATAAAAGGCACGTCTTATTTTCGGAGAAATTCGGCATCCAAATACACAAGTAAATCAGCCAGTGGTTTTCGGGGAGGTCGAGATGAAGACGCAAGAGTAAAGTGTGGCCATATCGAAGGAAGGCAATCTAGTTGCCACTGGTCAGCCGTTACAAAGAGTCCTTTAAAGCCGAAAAAGGCACTTTAGAAATGCCATGTCTGATTAGCGTAGATTTAAGAAAGTTAGATAGCACTGATATCCAAACGTTTATTCTTCAATAATCTAAAATGGCCCTGTTTCGCACTTTCAATCATGAAAGAAATTTGAAAAAATGCACCTGTACCACTCCTCTTTCAAAATGTTTAAATTGCTGTTACCACGTGGACCTTTCATCGTATTTAGGGCGCTGTCCAAGAGCAAAGCTGGCTTGCATTCTTGCTGTCGTGCCGCCCTCCTAACCCACAACCCCCCTGACACATCCATACGCTAGTGCTGTCTGCGTCCATCCATGAAACTGTCCCTCTCAAAGCCGCTTCTTGAAAAAGAATGAATCTGTGAAGCCGAATACTGATTGCCTGCTTTGAATGATCCCTAAAAGTATGCGAAGTGATTAAAAAGGGATATTACATTTTCTGCAGCAAAAGCGACTAACCCCAGTTTTGCAGCATTATCATTTTGGTGTCTCACGGTGAAAGCCCAATTTTGTGTTGAGCACCTGTAGCGACATAAATGCTCGTCGGGTACTTATTTAAGGCTTCGGGTGGAAATGATCTTGACAACCTACTTCGGCAGTTATTGGTGGTGTTTTAAAGTGCAATCGAAAGTGGGCTTATTGGGTGGTGACAAAGGAAAAGGCTTCTTTACAAAAGACAAGTGATGTGAAGTGGAATCGCTAGCTCAACGTGAATCGACTTTCGCCGGTAATGACTAATGTCGCTTCTCTCACTCTATTAGAGTCGATGATTCATCAGTTTTTGCGGTACCCAGCGTAATACATCAACTCACACCAGAGCTTGTTTTCGCCTCAATTATAGGCATATTATTTCAAACGTAAATGCCTTTCTAGATCGCTTATCATCCTAATTATATCGCATGTTTTTCAATTTAAGTTTTTTCATGAAATGAGTCATTTTGTCAAATTTGGTGAAATCTCAAAATGCAATGTAATGTAATGTGAAAGTAAACCCTCTGACGAATTTTATGTCGTTTTTGATTCGCTTAGCTGTAAAGGTGTTAGTGGTTCGTAGAGCGTGAGATTACTCCGATTTTCGAATTTGACCCTTTGAATCAAATGCTATCAAAAACACTTAATTGATTCCAATTGAGTGGAAAACATTACAGTCAGCAAAGGATATGTTTGATCGACGGAAATGTTAGTCGGATTTTGAAAGGTTCTAAGACTAAAATTTCTTTAAATATTCCAAAATCCGCAATTTTTATTTTCACTAATAGAATGGTACTGTTAGCAAAGTGATAATATTACCCAACAAACTCGTTTGCTTGCTTCATAAAGAATTCGTTTTTTTTATTTTTGCGAATTTGTGAATAAAACATGTTATGGGGAAGCACTACTTTAAAATGTTTACAAATTAGCTATATGTTAGCATTAGGCCGTTTCTCCTATAGAATGTATTTGACAGAATTTACTTTTATTAATTAGTTAACCTTCAAAAATATTTCCACTCTACTCCAGACCTGACAAAACGCGAATTTAATTTACAACTTTTTAATCAGTCTACTTGATTTTATTCCACCTTTCAAGAAAAAGGGTTGCGAACTGCTCTCCTTTTTTCCAAGTGCATGAGATAAAATCTGTCACATCTTTTTGCCTATGGAAGTCAATTTTTTCTTTGAGTAAAGCTAGGACCTTTAATGGCATCGTAAGGAATATAGTTTTCTGATTGGGTCATTAAGCTCTCTGTTACTTTTAGCGTAGAAATTCTTGTTGATAATCAATATATATATATATATATATATATATATATATATATATATATATATATAAACAAAATGTACATTATAAAAGTGTATACATTTCTAATGATC